TTTGCGAGAAGATGGGGACCTCTCATGTTGTTCAGGATAACACTGCGTGACACACGCAGTCGTCCCCAACATGTCTTACACTGAGAAAATCGGAAGTTCCTGCGGGAGACTCGATGATGCCGCAATCCATCGGCGGGATTCCAGCTCCTGACTGCGACCTCTTGCGGCAGACGCGATATCGCAGCTATTTGATCAGCTGTTGGCTGGGCTTTTTCAAAACTGGTTCTCCTGCAAATGTAGCCAAAAACTGTGTTCTGAACATACTTTGCAAAAGTACTATGAGAGTTTAGAGGAGTAAGAAGAAGTATAGAGTTTAGAGCCACCACTTTATTAGCTTTGTGATCGAACAATCATTCAAGCCACTAAAACAAAAATAATTAAAGGAAATCTAATATAACTAGACCAACATTTGACGTTAGTTCCTGGGTCAAGATGACTTTACGCTTTCGATTTTCGCCTTGGTGTTATCCGCCTCATTCGCCTCCTTGTATGCCAAAGAGGCATTCGTTGTAATAGGGCAGAAACGCTTTTTTGGAATAAAAGTACTGTCAATCTAACGGTAATTTGGAATTACGTGGCATTAGTTCCTTCTCAGCATCAAACCGATGCGCTACATTTGCTCTGAATCCTAAACTATATCAAGACAATCTTTTGATAGAAACTCACAAAGTTTTTCCTACCACTCATGCTAGTCTGCTTTTTTATTTCTGCAATTCTCTTCGTGTAAAGGAGGCCGTATCGAATGAATTTGAATAATGGCCCCGTAAATGGATCCGCAAGCAAAATCCGTAAATATCTGCTAAAGAGGCATTCGTCGTAATAGGGCAGAAACGCTCTTGTAGAAGAGAAGAAGAAGTGTCAATCACTTTTAAGAAATTATACATGAATATTACCTATCTCGAAGCGTCCACCTCAATTCTAATGAGACACTATGGTATGTTGACATGCCCAACCTTTTTTCAAACTTTGCGAACAATGAGGAAGATGCGCACAAAGGAGATTGAGGCTGTGTTCGCGCTGCAGTGTAAGCAACCTGACCTAACAACAGTTCATATTCGGGCCTTACTTTCAATCTATTGACTGATAGAGACGCATCTCAGAATTGCAGCCAATAATATCGTTAAAAATGGAAACCAGACCTTCAAAGTAAGACTCACCTGATACTATACAGTTTATGAGCACAAAGTGATCATACTGAAGAGAGACTCTAGAACATTCTCTTCATCTTCCGGGCAAGATAATAAACAATCCATTTTGTAAACAGCCGCTCGAAATTTCACCGTATACTTCAAGTATATGCTCTTAAATAAGGTATATTTTCAGGAATGAGGCACGTGATGTCGAAAAAGTTTGACGCTAATGAAGAAGCAAAAAGTAAATTGAAAACAAATCACGTCTCCCAATTTTTTCCCGCTTCGTTTTTAGAGTCTGGAAAATTCTAAAAGTCGCGGCAATTGTGTCGCGCAATGCTACCTCTCGGTTCCTGACACACAGTAAACTTCAATAATATCGTTGAAAATGTAAAAAAATACATTTGTATATTTGTTAGTTAACATGATATATATCTTAACAGTTTGAATCAAGGCTTGTTTTATGGAACTCATATATACTCAACTTTCCACATATAAAGCAAAAATCTGCATAAAATAGGCCGAGTAGAGTTGGAAAGGCCAGCTAGTTCTATAAAGTGTTTGGACGCGAAGAACACTTGACCTTATAAATATCAGGCATTGGTGATCAATCATTCTATGATGTATCGAAAGAATAGCACGCCGTGGTAAATGCTGAAAGTTGTATTCCAGACGTGCGGTACGTTAGGGGACATGCATCCACCAAAGAATTTTCAGTTTTTTGCCATTAGGATATCCTACTGCAGATAAAAAGACTAGTCCTTAGCGATCGAACTCTAGTTCTCTCAATCAATGCACTTTCCTTTCTTCTCGTAAAAGTTCACTTTCTCCTCCATATGATCATTCCATATTGATATATTCTCTGCTCGCAGCAGATTTCATAACAAAAAAGTGGTTCCCATTAATTTTGCACGCGTAAGACTCTTATGTCTGCTGATCAGCGCTGCCTCTATAAAATAGCGAAAACTGCACTTTAAAGGACCAACCATGGGATCCGCTGAGGGTGAGTTTGTCTTTCATTGTAATATTTTTCAAAACGCTTTACAAATTAGAGCCGATAGATGCGCAGCTACAACAAGCCAAAAGGATTTCTATTTTCTCATAAGGTTTATAAAATAAAACAGACAAATGCTTCGCAGAGGCTGCACCGTTTTTTTTTGGGGGGGGGGGGGAAGGGAGGGTGGGACGAAGTAATCCTGCTCATGGAAAAAAACTTGGCACTACCTGTATTTGTGATCCTGCTCCTAGGATGGGAAAAGTCTGCATAATCTTAGTGATGAGTAGCTGGTCCAAACTACTCATCACATACACTGTAATGTGAGAGCGATAACTCTGGGCCGATAAAACTTACCAGGGATGTAAGACGACTCGCAAACCGTAATGCTTTGCACGACAATCGCCGCGCGCGACACACCCTGCGCGCATTTTGCCTAAGGGTGCCTTCATACCGCGCCGGCAGCCGCCGCTGGCAGCCCGTAGCAGCCCGCAGCAGCCGCTGGCAGCCCGTAGCAGCCCGTAGCCGCCGCTGGCCGCTTTTTTATAGAAGCGCAAAACCATCAGAATGCTACTTTGAGTGCTCCTGCTACGCTTTTCGTCTTCCTTGCTTTTTCCTCTGTTGTCGCCAGTAGAAATTCTGATCTCACACATCACATTTATGTCCATTTCATTACCTTGTCGCCGTGCGGTCATTCTGTTAACCACAGTTCGCAAAAGTTCCTTTCCTATGTGATTTCTTCTAACTCTGGATGCGTCCAGTTCCTGCAGGTGTGCAATTTGCTAACTTTTTGAGTATGCTTTTGCTTCATTCTTCTTCTTGGCTATCGGTGTATATCTGAATCGCATTACACTATTTCGCAAGCTCGCCGTTTGATTCGCTGTATGGGTTCCTCTGATTTTGGCAATGGCTCACACGTTTTACACAAGACAGATTGCGTAATTGAAATGTGGGCGCAGATAGGATGCAATGTGCGGCAACAAAACAGTGAACACAATTTAATATGTGTACTTCTTCTTCATTTTCGAATTATACACTGGCGGCAACAGAAGAAAGAAGAGTGGGAGATGGAAAGCGTGGGCGGGCGCACTCAAAGTGGTAAGTTTGATGATTTTGGCTTCTATGACAAAAACGGCTACGAGCTGCTGGCGGCTGCTGGCGGCTGCTGCGGGCTGCCAGCGGCTGCCAGCGGCTGCTACGGGCTGCCAGCGGCGGCTGCCGGCGCGGTATGAAGGCACCCTAAGCAAGGGAGGGGAGCGAAAGATTTGCAGCGTGTGTGACTTGTTGAGACAATAAGGTGGCGCGGTAGACCGTCGCCTAAAAAAAGGGTTTCCCATCTACTAGTAGAGTAACGAACGCAAGTGAAGTGATTGATGGGTCGATTGTTTTGCAGCTTTTTATGAGAATATAATCTGTGCATATTCTCAAGGCACCTTCTTCCATTCTACCAACAAGAAAAGGAATAAACGATTCATGTATATGGCTAGAATCCCTATCCCACGGGCTAAAAGTCGCGCATGAACTTGTAAGCCACGCATTTGATCACGCCGGTCCTGCTCTCGATGGGTGTACATAAAAATACGTCTGTTATGCGAAATTCGGTAAGATGCTCGGCTGGAAATAACTGCGACACACACACACAACACACACAACACACACAACACACACAACACACACAACACACACAACACACACAACACACAAAACACACAAAACACACAAAACACACACAACATACACATACACACAACACACACAACACACACAACACACACAACACACAACACACACAACACACACAACACACACAACACACACAACACACACATACATACATACATACATACACACACACACACACACACACACCACACACACACACCACACACACACACACCACACACACACACACCACACACACACACCACACACACACACCACACACACACACCACACACACACCACACACACACCACACACACACCACACACACACACACCACACATACACCACACACACACACACCACACACACACCACACACACCACACACACCACACACACACACACACACACCACACACACACCACACACACACACACCACACACACACACACACCACACACACACACACCACACACACACACACCACACACACACACACACACACACCACACACACACACACACACACCACACACACACACACACACACACACACACACACACACACACACACACACACACACACACACACACACACACACACATACACACACACACACACTGGAGCGCCATTTCAAGTAGTGGTCATTGTTGTGACATGTGACTATAAACGATCACTTTTATAGAAGCCGAGAGGATACTGAAACCAATCTTTGATGAATTCGTTCGAAAGTGGAAAGAAAAAGATGTTGACAAGGACTGCGGTTCTATTGTTTTGCATTTTTTACTACGATCATATACCACCTATTGACACTTATTTGTTAAGTTCTAAATATTAGAATGGTCGGAAAGTAATGAGACAGCCTGATTTTTTTCTACATTTAAGATTTTTTCCGATCAGCAATGGCGGGCTGCCACTCAAGCTTGACTTACGTAAGCGACCTTCTCAATCATCCTGGTAACGCTTTTCCTCTTTCTTCTCCAAATCTCAAAACTTTTGGCGTGGCGCCTCAAAGAACTCGAACAAGTTTTTTGAACATCTTTTCGTATTGCGTTGCTATACCGTAAAGCCATGATGCTGAAAGAAAATAATATATTTTAACAGGTTCTAACAATAGTACATTCTAACACCTGCCAAAACTAGAACATCTAAACGAGTCCTCTTTCTTGAGAGGTTTGCAATTATTCTCCATTTGTCTCAATACTTTCCGACATGGGTTTTTTGACACTTGACAATCAATCGCTTTACCCTGAAACTTACATCAAGCTGTTAGCTACAGCTTTACTGGTAAGTTACAGTGGTACCCTTGACAGCTTGATTTTTTGCTCTTCTCCCACCTTCGATATATTATGGATGTTGTAGTATTACTGAGTGCAATCATGTAATCATAGGTGATTGAAGTTTACCACCCTGACGCCGTCATTGTCGAAGCTGGAAAGAAAGCGACATACGGAAAAGAAGGTATTTGTATCTTCAAAACTATATTACTCGAAATCAATTCGGTTGCAGCGATCAAGGAAGAACTCATGGAATTTCTCAAAACAGGGGATAGCATGAAGGTTGTTTTTACATATATTTTATAAGAAGACAAGAAATCGTAGACTGATCATTTCTTGAGTTCTATGTATTGTTTTAGATCCAGGAAGGACATTATCAAATGAGCGACGATTACATTATCTACAATGGAATCTTTGAAAATACGCTGCAATCCGGAGTGGTCAAAGGGAAATTTACCCAAATATGGCGAAAAGTTGGCGACACATATCAGCTTTTACGTGACGAGTACTCATGGGAGTGAGAGAAAACTTAATTTGATGAGTACCATTTAGTGCAGTGCATTTGGACTTCGACTAACTTTTTGCACAAAAAAGTTGCTTATTCCAATGTGATTAAATTTATCATCTCTATCTTTCCTTTTATCTAGAGAAAACATCAAGCTTTCCCTTCCGCAGTCATAAAAAACACTTAACTTTGCTGGGTTATCCAAGGCCTCGTGTAATAGCAAACGTATAGTACTGCTGTTCTGAATGATAAGGTAAAATTTCGATTTGGGCCTTATATGACAGTGCAAGGGATTGACGAGTCCTCTCAGTGTGGGACTATGGAAAAAGGTTTTTCTTACGATTTTGCCGCAAGATGCATCAAAATCCTGCAGTAGGTCTGTGGTTGGACTAATAGCCAGGGGCCCTTTTGTGCTGCAAGCCGAAGAGCGCGGCAGATTCGTAGGTTGTATCTCAGTTGATGCACATTGGTAGTTGACGTGCTCCCAGCTTTGTAAATAGTGCGGGCGAACCCATTTCCCCATCTTATATTCGATTCGTTGGCATAGGTGGTAAGCATGCTGAATACAAACACATATTAGTTTTCAAAAGTACCAACTACTTTTATAGATTGTATCGATTTTTCGCGAAGTTTGTCCTACGGGGCATAACTGAGATTTGGCACGGGAGGGGGGGGGGGGTACGCTGACTACGAAAATATGGTGGGGAAAGGGATTTGCCGAGAACTGGGGCAGGGACATGGATAATGTATTGATGGGGCGGGGCGGGGCCGGGTGTGCCAGCTAGTGTACTTCTATAGCCAAAGTGCTCAAAAAATATTTTTTCTTCTAAAAATTCTCCTGGTTCTCCTGGTGCTCTGCGTTCACACCTTCCCACTTCTCCCTCCTTACTGCCTCAGATTCCCACTGGAGCCCCGACTTTTCTCCGCTATTTTCCTGGCCAAAATACCCATATGTTTCTCCAGAACTTTTCAAATGGAAGCGCTGAACTCCTTAGTAATTCTTTTTCTCCACTCAAAGCTACTTTAGCCAGTGCATGCAAAAGCGCTCAAATTTATTCACCGTATCTTATGAAGGCCAGGGTGCCCAAAGTACCTCCCACAATTCTTTGCTGAGCAGGTGTCCTATCTCACGGCCCCCTCTTCCTCCCCTCCTCTATCTCACTTCTTTAGAATTAAACTAGGGCCCGTATGCACGTACATCCCCGCGGGGAGGGAGGGGATCTAAGAGGGAAAGCGTCATATCCCGCTAGTCTACATTTCTTTCTCCTTCTTTCTCTATCTTGCTTATGAAGTTTCCCATACACTGATACCTGCGCATAACGGATGCTAGGTTACTGCCATACAAGATTAGAAATGCACTATACTTTCTGATCCTCTGGGGATCCCCAGGGAATCACTTCAGATTCTCAATATCATTTATCTCCCTGAAAAATCAATGAAAATCCTGCAAAATTGTACTGAAGATATACTACGATACTGCTGAGCATGTTTTCGACAAAAGAAATGGAATCCGAAGATTTTGATTTTTTCGATAATCCCTGGCTCGCGAGCAGCGGTTCATCGAAAATTTTGATATCTTGAGATTTCACTCATTTCTACCATAGGCATGTTTAGCAGTGCTTTAGTATATCCTCAGAACAATTTTAGAGCATTTTCATTGAGTTTCCAGGAAGTTAAATGGCTTTGAGAATGTGAGGTGATCCCCTGGGGATACCCAGGGGGTCAAACGAAATAGTGAATATCTAATCTTGTATGGCAGTAACCTGGCCTCCATTATGCGCAAGTATCAGTGTATGAGAACCTTTAAAAGCAAGTTAGAGAAAAAAGAAGAAAGATATATGGACTAGGGAGATATGACGCTTCCCTTCTCAGATTCCCTCCCTTCCCCGCGGGGATGTGCATGCTTACGGCCTAGAAGTAATCATGATAGAACTGAAACTCTTCTAAGGCCCGAATGCACTAACATCCCTGCGGCGAGGGGAGCGACGTCCCCAATGATGTAAAAGTCGTAGCGGCGTCCGCACGCGACCCCTTCATAATGGGGGATGCCGCTCCCCTCGCCGCAGGGATGTTAGTGCATACGGCCCTAAGTGGGTTTCCTATCCCGATTTCCTAAGTTCCTTTCTTCAGAAGTTTTTTGAGTGGACACACTGTTACCACGGTGCCCACTCCTCCCTGCCCAAACTGCTGTTGCCAATTTTCAAAAAACCAAGCAAATTATCTCATGCTCGGATTGCTTGATGTTTCTAAAATTCTCTTCTAACAATGAATAGGTGTCTGTCACATAGCCCCACTCTTTGTTTTCAATTCTACTATCCCAAAGTTTTCATGTTGAACATAAAACTCTTTGACTGAAGTACTCAGGAATCCTTCTTCCAGGATGGCCACTAATTCTCTCCGCACGGAGATGCTGTAGCCAAAGCTTGCGAAAGCACCACAATCACTGAGCAAATTTCATGGCCAGAGTGCCCGAAGTCCCTCCCAGAACTCTCGCTTGAGCAGGTGCCCTATGACACGGTCACCACTCTTTCTCTCTCTTCATTTTACTACATTCAAAGGCATGCAAATCATCAAAATCCAGGCTCCGAATCTTTTCACGGGAAGTGCCCAAACTTCCTCTTACGAAATTCTTAGGCAGGTGTCCCTTAGACAAAGAGCTGCTGCCGAGAAATTAAGATTCGCTTATTTTGTCAGGCAAACTAGGGCTGCTAGCCTTTTTTGCCTCATGATGGCCCAGTATAAACGCATTTTCGCACCGAAGTGGTTGTGAATATATCTAGGATATGTCAAGCAGTGCTCATATCAAACAAAGAACCAAATTTGAAAAAAGTAGATTTCTTGAAAGTTATTCTAATGCGGCACTCACGGCGCATCATCTTATGAATTTTTCAATTTTCAAACGTACTGTCAGATGCATCAGACGGTGTTTTTCTTTCAGCTTTCAAACTAAAGCTCAGTAACCTGATTAGAGCTGTAGAAATGCGGCACATTTCCCGGCACTGCGTTTGAAACGTATTTTTTGGAAACGGAATTGTTGGTGCCTCATCCTTACTTCATGCAGATGTTTTATTGAGATTGTAAACGTAAAAACAGCTTGTGTTGTTTATGTATGCACTCGTGGTTCGCCAAAATAACTCGACAACATATACTCAGTAATGAAATAAATGTCCCTGTCACACTTCCACATTCCAATCTAAGTACACAGGTGCAGTCATTAACACTGCAAATGAGATCTGCTCGAATTAAGAAGAAGACTTCATGCTTTGTTAATTGGTTCTTTGAAGAACTTGTCATCGAACTATGTCTTTCACTAATACTTTTTCGTTTATATCTTCATCGATCAATTATGCTTGAAGTCAGCAGTATAAAATCTGCGGGGACTTGATTTAAAGCGCAAGCTGATGTCTTGTATCTTTTACTACATTTCATTTTCCTTGCATGTAAGCTAATGCGACCCAAGCTTCGAAGGGAAAGAGCAGCTGTGATTTCAATATGCAGACGGTTAGATATCGTGGAGGAGACAACAAATGGAGGAATTCTGACTACCGATTCCGGAACATGCTTGGCTCTCTTGCAAGTCGTTGTATTTCATGCCAAGTAGGGGAGTGATGGCTCTAATATTGTTGACGATTGAATGCGACGTATGTATGTACATTCCCCTTGCTCCATAGTCAGAGCAATATTCGCTCGTGCCGTGCACGTCATGCAACAGCATTACATTTATTTTATGTAATATCTTCTTGTGCTTATTCGTGCTTTGCCGCAAATTTTTTAAAGATAATTTTTGTTGCAAAGGAAAGACTACTAAATGCAATTTGCTGCACTTTGTGCAATCCAAAAGAAAAGAATAAAAGATTAACTCCATGCTATGCTTGTGTTACGCTCCATTTATTACGCATTAAGGGCAAAGCAAATTAGCTAATGGCTGAGCTTCAATTTACCTCCACCGACAATACATCTAGGAATTTTTTTATCTAAAAGAGAAATGTATGCATTGTCTTATGTACTAAGTGCTGTGAAAGAATGCGAATGTTGAAAATTTTCTGAATCTTTGATAATTGTATACATTTTGATTGTAAATGATTGAATCAGTACGGGTCAATGATTTATATCTTTTGATCTAAAAAGGCTTCTGTAGCCATTATCATCCAATGCATTCCATGAAGAAACAACAGTTACGAATTTCTCAAAATTTACATAATAAAATGTGCGACTTCTGGTTTGAATCTGACACAATTTTAGCAGTATTCGCAGCGATTTTCCAAATATCTCAATTGTCCGGGTGACGACAATCATGTCATTTGTTATTGGATACATAGCTTGGTGACAATTTCTAACAAGATCTTATAGAGATCTGATATTCAACTAAAGAACGCTAAGAAAATCTCACCAATCCATTCAAAGTGGAAGCAATTCTTCGAACTAAAATAGCCCCGATGTCGCTAAATTCGCATTTGTCCATTTATAAGCTTGAGATATATTAGGTTGTAACAGAAGTGATGCAGGTTTTGAATTCCAACCGCAATAAGTCATAAACTTCTCATTTCTAAGTAGGTTGCAAAATACCATTTGATAGAGCAAAGCAATCTCTACAAGGTGGCAATCTTGCTTTAGCAACAACTCTGATCCACCAAGAGTTTCGAGCCGGAAAGTAAAAAAATTCAATTGTCCGAAAAATTGAGAAAAATCGTAACTCAGTTCATAAAAAACCTACAAAAATTCTAACATGCTCATGTAAGCACAATCCATAAAAGGCATCTATACACGCCGTTGCCGTATTTTTTTCTCTGTTAGAAACCAAGAAAACGGGAATTTTCTTGCATTTGCCAAAGTGTTGCTGTGCCGTTCCCACATAAGTAGTTGTATACTACAAACCTGTAGAAGTACAAACGTAAATTTTCAGCTCTCTACAAGCTTTAGTTCTCGAGAAATTTAAATTTTAGCCTTAACCACATGACTAGCGAAAACTGTATTCGATATTTTTCGAGAACTAAAGCTTGTAGAGAGCTGGAAATTCACGTTTATACTTCTACAGGTTTGTAGTATACAACTACGTATGTGGGAACGGCACAGCATCACTTTGACAAACGCACGAAAATTTCCGTTTTCTTGATTTCTAACAGACAAAAAAATACGGCAAAGGCGTATATAGATATCTTATGTGAATAGTGTATACGTGAGCAAGTTAGAATTTTTGTAGGTTTTTTATGAACTGAATTACGATTTTTCTCAGTTTTTCGGACAGTTGAATCTTTTTAGTTTTTGGCTCGAAACTCGTGGTGGATCAGAGC